ATGACATATTCTTTTCCAATGGCTTAACTCGTGATCATTCATTAGTACTCACGCGTTAGACAGGATATAATCATCGGTAGAAAAGATTGATAAAAGAAAGGGAGAATATCAACGAGAATCGTCATCATCCTTTACTTTAGTACACGGTAAATCATCACTGACGATTTGCCATTACTACAGCTAGATTTAACTTGATGATATCATCCAAATAGACTTCCGGTCTCTGGTGTGTTTTCTAGACGATACCCACCCTAACTTCCGCTTGTTATTGCTTGCCGATCTTCAAGGAGATGTCTGCTTCTTTTCCGCGAGTAACGTAGTGCTTGAGTTACTTTGATAATTTCTAACTCGAAAGATAAGGATCGTTGTCCTATCTATCGTAAATCAGTATTTTATGTGCGTGTATGTGTATGTGTGTGCATTCGTTTGTGTTGACCGTCAGCAAACGAGCGAACAAGGTTCGACTAATACCAACTCAAGGCATGTTTTCTTGTCCTAATTCCCTGCTTTTCGAAGGATGGAAAAGGGAACTCGTGGCTACGAAACACCAAATGAATACGAGCTAAGAATACAAAATTAACACACAGGGACCTCGAGATTAACAGCTGTTACCGAACGTGAGAAATTTCTTTCTTTCTTTCTTTCTTTCTTTCTTAGTTACGTTTTTTTTTCTTTTCTTCTTGTTTTCTTATTTCTTTCCTCAATTGGGGTTCATTACAATCTCGTATAAACGCATTAACATGCAATTTTTATCGTGATTAAATTATTATTATTATTATTTTAGGTTTATCTTTTATCTCGACGCGATTAGATGTTCAATTAATTATTATTCTAAACGATAATAACACTGCCAATTGCACTTAGTTTTAATTTGTTTTCTTTCAATTTAATTATTCGTATTTTTACGAAAAAATTTGTAATATTTTTCTTGAGTACGTTAAAATAAATATTATTAAATTTTTGTTTTTTAAATTAAGAGAATTAAATGGAATAATGCGATATAATGAGATATGTAGAAAATTAAGATTACTTTTGTTATTTAAATGAGAATATTCTTGATACCAGGTAGTATAATTTGGATGACATTGCAGCAGTGCTCGTCCAATTATGATTTGGATGATATTCTTTAGTATTCTAAAGATAAATTCGCAACATGAGTAAAGTATAAACGAGACAAACATTTTTCTCTCTCCATTATTATAATCTCAAACGTTCTTGTGTGTGACGTCTCGAGAGACAAACGAGTTAAAATAAAAAAAAAAAAAAAGAATAGAAAATCAAGAAGTTAGATCGAGCAAGTTACGCGTTAAGTTATATCGCAGTTGCAGTTGAAGAAAAAAAGAAAGAAAATGAGTGAACGAGTTTTATTCACTCGCCTGTATAATTGGATACACTGCGCCGGTAATCCGTTTGAAACGCGTACGCGAAGAAGAAACTCGGTAGATTGTTTGGTGACTCGTACTATTATTTCCCTGGTCAACTAATTTAACTACATCTTCTGGTTTTGTAATAAAAATAAATATATAGATATATATGTATCTCTTTGTAAGATATAACCTTGAGGAACAAGTATAAATCCTGTAGGGAGATGCACGTTTGTGAAATAAAAATATCATAAGTAAATTTTTATCAAATTCGAATATTCCATTAATTGAAAATTTGTCTCGAAGTTTATATCGAATGGAAATTCTGACGAAATTACAGTCCTCGTGTCCCGTTGATTTAAATATATTTTTCAAAGAAAGTTTACGGATAATCGTTGAATTTCAACTTTTATTTCGCGTTTCGACATTTCATGACTGACAACTATTAGCTCATTTTATCGTAACATTTTCTTCATAAGAAAAAAAGAAAAAGAATTGAAAAATTATAAATTTTTTTTTGCGGAGAGAATCCAACGTTCAAGAGGTCCACTCTTCTCTCGTGTCGTTTCGACAAGCAGGTGCGCCATGCATCAGGAAAGGCTAGTCTTCTTTCTTGCTGATCTTGGTTCTGCCCTTTGGACCGCTACCGATCCCACCTGCCGATCACGTGGCTTCCACGAAACATTCGGCTAAGAGCTTCTCGCGTGATTTACTTTTCGATTGAACGTACATTTTGTTGCACAAATTGCAACGACGAGAATTAATGTTACACGTTGGCAAAATTCAAGCGTCCTTATAAGGTCTCTTTAAAAAAGAATTAAAAATAACGATATATCATTTTTAATATGGCACGTGTATCTCGAGAATGTATTTTTTTTTTATATATACAATACGTATTTATATATTTATATACTTTGTATATATATATATATATATATATAATTAATATATAAATAATATAAAATAATACATGATATTTTTATATACAGTATGTTCACAAAACGATGATTAAAAAAAAAAAACAGTATTTGCAATTTCGAAGAGAAGCGAAGAAGAAAAAAATAATAAATAGTTCTATTAGATTGTAGTAGTGTTTGTAGTGGTTGTAGTCTATCATTATCATGGATAAGGATCTATGACTCTATCGTTCTTTGCAAACAGACGCCCGGATGCATAGGATGCAGCTGCTCATTGACAATAAAACACTTTTACTTATAGGATAGTGATCATAGCGTCCCATACGATTCTAGTCACGCATCTTGTTAAATTTACGTCCAATTGATAATAGTATGGGTAGTTTAAGAATAAACATTAGACAGTCAGTATATTGCGTACATTCTCGAAAAAAGGGACAGGTGTATTTCTACACATCTCGCGATAGATACCTTAGAAATATGAATCAAAGGTGTTTTTCGCGTTTGCCAATATATTAATACATATATTTATTTCTATAATACATAATATATTTACGTATACGTTTATTTATTTACAAGTTTGATAGATGATGTATTTATTTTGATGATCATCTCCTCCTGTTAATTCGACCATAACTTCCATTTAATATGGAAAGTGTATCGAGAAAAAGAAAGAAAGAAAGTAAGAGTCAGGTCTCGAATTACGTGTTACGGTGACGGAATGAAAAAGATTAATGAAATTCGGGAAGTCCATTAAGGATAATTTATCTTTTTTTGAGAAAGTTTACTTCATGCCTGTTACGTCAATAACGACCATAAACCAACCATATAGTGTGAAATATTGCACGTTCAATTTATTTCGTTATTTTATTTGAAATTATCTTATTCAACTTTTTCTTACGTATTAATAGACAATTATCTATCATCTGTTATCTATTATTCATTTTTTTTTCTTATTACATAAGAATTAATTTTATTGATAAAAATAGCACATTGATCGCGCGCGTTTTATTCATAATTCTTCGTACAATTTTCTATCGATTATTTTCATCATCTTCCTAATGATAGGTTTTGCTAACTTTTAAGAAAAAAAATATTAGTATAACGTATAATTAGCTATATTTTTTCTTTTCACGGATTGAAAAGACCCAAAAGAAGCCACATTATACGATCAAGTTGAGACAATTTGTAATTGAATATGATGGATCGTTCGATGGACACTAAGAAATCGTATACGTAGAACTCAAACCTTCTTGGCAAGGTGTTCAATTGACGACCACCTGTCGATAGCAAGCTCGCCGGCTGGTGACAATCTGTTAAACATCAGGGAAGTCATGCGAGATGAGTTGACGTCTCTTTTTGGATGCCTGATCTCTTCTTAATTGCTACAATTAACAAATTTTTGTCGAATTCCATTTAAATCATTTACCGTAGTTCATTCTTAATTCTATACTACCTGTTGCTTACCCTGTAAGAACCTTTGATTCTTTCTATTTTCTTTTATAATGTGACATGATAGGAATATTTTGTTAATTTATTGTTTTTTTATTTGATTTCTTAAATATATTATTCAGGAACAAATAATTTTCTTCTAAATAATGATAATCCGAATATCCGAAAAATCCGAAAATAACGAAACCCAATTTTGTTTCGTCTTTCCAAATGCCCTCTCAAGGGGGTAAATTTTATTTAACACTTTTACATTTTCATTCAAAGTATTAATTTTTTTTACAAAATAATAATTTACCTTCACCCGTTATACTTATGTAAGATCGCAAAATAATATTAGAACAATTAACGATAATAATATCGTCACTCAACGATAGGTAAACAATTGTAGAATCTATTTGAAATGGGAACGCAAAAGTTACGATTTAAAGAAGATCGGAAAATCGTAGAATGGCGAGTAGTAATACGGACTCTTGGATACAGCACATAATAATTCGTGTTCCCGATTTTCCAGAGCCCTTCCGGGCCGAAAGAGAGAGAAGTAATAACCGGTGTAGAGTGGTCCGTGTGCTCGTGAAAACGACTGAGGGTGAAAAAGGAGAAGAGTGAATGAGAAAAAGAGAGCAAAAAAAAAAGAGAAAGAGAGAGAGAGAAACTATAGAAACAAACGAACCGCAGGGTAGCAAGCAGCGTACCTATATATACATAAGCTCGCTCGTCGTGATATTTCTACGCTTTTGCAACAAACTCCGTCGTGTGGTCGTCGTATACATCTGAGAAAAGAAGAAAAAAAAAAAAAGAAGAGGTATGAGGGTGGGTTTGGGGCTAGGAAGAAAAAAGGAAATGAGACTCCGAATGATTACTGACCCACATCCTGGTCTTCACGACAAAGCGTTTCCTCTGTTCCGTTTTTCTTCTTCTAACAGCTTGCTATGTAGACAGCATAGGAACGAAGAGGAACGTTCAAAATCTCGATCCCGTAGGGATTCCTGCTACGCTTTCTCCAAACGTCTTCTTCGTTGTCGACGGCATACACTAAACAATGCTTCCATACCGCTTGGAGGGAAGTCTCGTTATCATCCCAAATCGAGGAGAAAAGCCTTTCGACGTTGCTTGGACGCAGATAGAGGCAAGGGAGTTCGTTTAGAAGCTTGCCAAAAAACTATGTCTCTTTATTTCTATCGTGCATTGTTTGACTCGGGTAGTGGAATCGATGATACGAGACGTTCGATAGAATTAACCGTTTTTTTTTTATTGTTCTCGTTAAGAAAAATTTGTGATTTTTTTTTTTAATTTTTTTTCTCATTTTGGTTTTCGACATTTTTCATTCTTTTCTTTTTAATATTTTTCTTTACAAAATTATATTTCCCTCTCGTTAAATAACGCAACAATTACATAACACGGATAAAGGAAGACAAAATCATATATTCAAATGTTAATCTTTAGAAATCATAACTGGATTGATTCATTTTAAAAGATCATATTGTTGAAAAATTTTCATTCGTGGAATAAAGATGTAAATGCATCGAAAAATAATAAAGAATTTGTAAGAGAATAAAATCTCTCTCTTTAAACATGATACTTCAATTCAGAAATTTCTAAAGTACATAATTGCATAAGAAGATAAGATCGCACTCTTGGAAGTTAGAATCGATTCTTTAATATTTATTTAAATAAATTAAAGGGAACGAATTGTAACTAAATATAATCTGCTTGATTCTTTTTTCTTCTATAGCTTGCATCGAACGCTTATTTTTTTCATTTATATAAATGTTCTGTCATTGTAACAATAAAATTAATATTCCATTTTGTACTTCCTTCGATCACGTGTTTATGTGCTTTTAAATATTCATATAAAGACAAAACAACACTACCTATATCAAAAACTATTATCGTCGTCATCGTCGTCATCCGTATATTCGTACTCTTCGGTGATTCTTGTTATTTCCGCATCATGTTCTTTCAATTCTTCATCTGACAAATGTGAATCTCCTTCCATAAATTTGGCGAACCTGTAATTTAATATAAGTATTTTCATGTTGCACACACACACATTTACTAAATGAAATTATTTATTAATATTAATTAAGTTTGACAAACAATTATAAATATCAAATATAAACAGACCTTATGGGATCCTTCAATTTCAAAATTGTTTTCCATGGATTACATTTGGGACTACAGCAGTAATGTTGTAAATCTTGTAAAGCTTTATTAGTCTCTTGTATAGCCTCTTTACGATATTGATCATCTGTTAATAGCTTTCTTTTTTCAGGAAACATATTTTTCCTAATATGATACAATAAAGGCATATAAAATTATATTCTTGATTATAAATATAAAGAAAAAAATCAAGAAATAACGATAAATAATAAAAAAGTAATTAATTATACAAAATAAATCTTTATTAAAATAATACAAAATAATAATAAGTATTAGATAATTATATGATTACGTAATTTTAGTATATTGACCACTCCAACAATGAAAGAACAAAATTTTAATCTACATGCATTATCCAATTGATTAAAAATAATTGTGGTTAGAATTTGAAAAGGCAGTCAACTGGAATATTTTCTGGAAGTCTTGTTTCCGTTACTATAAAATTGTATTATCTGATAAGAGGTATACATATCAGAAAAATAATACCTAAATTATTAAAATTATTTCTACAATAAACTTACCAATATCTTTTTCCTTTATATATCACAGCAACCGGAAAATTATAAAGAAGAACGAGTACTATGCAACTTAAAAATGATGCTTCGTAGAAATAGCTGCTATAGTAAATGGATATTAAACCTAAACCCTATGTATAAAAGTGACACAATATGTGAAATATTAATTAACACAAAATTTGTAATTGATTATACTTTTATATGAATATGCTTAACCTGTAAGAACCACTGTATAATCTGTTTTGTTTTAGTATTAGTTATTGGACCAAAGCGATAACAAATAAGAAAACTTATCAGCGAAGTTATTAGAATATACCACATAACGTAATCTCTGTACTGTAATAATATCAACTGCGTGTTTTCATATATCATTTGACCAATATAGAAACTCATCGTCCAACCAGTAGCAAGCATTAAGTACATAAACTTTCCCTGGTAAATCAAATTAATATTAATGTAAAATACATTTAGAAAAGAAAGTTTCTTAATACTTACTCGTGGAAATAATTTACCAGCAAAATATATTAATATTAAACACGAAGCTGTAACTCCAAGACTAATGCCACATAAGTAATAGAATAATGGATTATGACTCAGTCTTTTAGCAAACCAAAACAATACAATTCCAATCACAGCCATTAAGATTTTCCAGATATTCGCACCTAATTGATGCAATCAAAATAATGAGTAAATATGCTTTAATACAATTACACTACGAACTTGTACATTCGAAACTTACGTGTTTGGGTCATACTGATAGTATATTGTAATCCTTCATACTTAGAAGTATAAACACCAATGCAAGTAGTTTGGAAAGGATCTAATTGAAACGATTTTTGTTTTTTTGTATTGAAAAAATTAAATCTCCAAAATCCCAAATTATTAGAATGTTTTTCAAATACTTCTTGAGGCGTGCTGCCATCATACAAATCATACGTGTCCCGGTTAATATTCAAATTCATCTGTAACGTGTTACTTCATATAAATTTTATTTGGTAATATTGAAAGATGTCTGATAAATTATAAATTAGATTTATTTTCTTTTACCGTTATTGTCTTCCAAATATATAAAAGATATTTCGACTTTGCTTTATGGCAGAACACTTGCAGGCCCGCTTTATCATTTATAATAATTTTTCCTGGTTCTATGAGGTGAACTACAGAAGTAAATAAATTGTAATACTAGAAAATGATTAACAATACACATTATAATTACGATTAATTTATTCAAATTAAATAATGATACATTAAATGATAAATAGCAGTACATAGCAATTTTGTTAATTTTCAATAACAACAACAAAATATAGTCAATAGCAACATGTAGTAAAATGTAATATAGGTTATATAAAACTAACCTGAATCTGTAGAAATAGCACATCTTGCTGATAAATTCTGTAGAATCAATAATACAAAAATGATTTTTAATATTCTGATCGTCGTTTCCATTTTAATTTACGTTTTAATATCGATTTGTTATTTGTTTATAAATATAGTATTAACCTTTCTCTTAAAAATTCACAGCAATCTGAATTGAGCGTTAACAGATTTGAAATTCGAGCATGGCGCTGAACGGGCAAACATCGATAAATTGTTAGAAACGATATAAGAAATAAATCGATTGTCAACCAATTTCACGCTTCATATAATCAAAATTGGCGCGAACGTATCCTGAATCATAAATAGTCATCAAAACAATACAAATAATTTGTAACAGTCGGTGCTGTTCTATTACAATAGATAATTGTTAACTTTCAAAAATGTAAAATGAGTCAATTTATAACAATACAAGGTAAAAGCAATTCCTTTACTTTTAAGTATAAAAAATAATGTCTAATATAATTTTATATTTTATTATATTAATTTATTTATTTCAGTTGGTCAATGCGGTAATCAAATAGGATCAGCTTTCTGGCCTTTGGCATTGCACGAATATGGTATACAAATGAAAAATGGATTTGCGGATCTTCTCAAGATCCAACGAGATTATATTAAAAATATAGACGCATTGTGGGATGGATTTAACAGTTTTTTTCATGTACCTGGAAATACAGATAATTTATGTTTTAAAACAATAGCTGATTTGAACGTGGCCAAAGTTAAAGCTAGGGTACTGTATTATTATTATTATTATTATTATATTTGCCAAAATTTCCAAAATGTATTATAATATTAAAATAAAACTTGTTATCTTTGAAGGCCATTCTAATAGACATGGAAGATAGCGTTGTTGGACGATTTCAACATGGACCGTTGCGTGAATTATTTAACAAAACTTGTACGGTGACTAATTATCCTGGCTCTGCGAATAATTGGTAAGACAGAATTGGTAAATAGAAAAATAATTGTTAATATCATGTAATGATGAATATAATCGTATAAAGGGCTACAGGATATTATACTCATGGTACGGAATATCATGATCGAATTGAAGATGTAATAAGACAATGTGTTGAAAAGTGTGATTGTCTAGGTGGATTTTTTCTTTTACATTCTGTTGGCGGTGGAACTGGTTCTGGTTTAGGAACAGCAACTTTAACTATGTTGAATGATAACTACCCTCATGTTGATAGGTATGTTATATATATTTTTTAAATATCATTATACTAATAGAAACATTTTATTCTTTTTCAGACACGTGTCCTCGATATATCCTACAGGTATGGAAGATGTTATTACAGCTCCGTACAATACATTATTAGCGACAAAAGAGTTGATAGAACACGCTACTTGTGTATTTCCAGCAGAAAATGAAGCACTCTTGAAAATTTGTGAAACCCAAATAAGAAATAAAGATAATATGGATCAGGCTAATTTTAATGCTTTGTGTTTACCATTTCAGGATATGAATAGTATTATTGTTAATATGCTTCTTCATTTGACTAGGTAATACATTTTTTTTATTATACATATTCTGATGTAAATTGTAAATAAATTTATTTACAGTGGCTCCAGATTTCCTGGAAATTTAAATATAGATGTAAGTGATTTATCTACAAATCTTGTTCCATATAAAAGGATGCACTATATACTTAGTAGTGTTAGACCAGTAGCTTTGACGGCGCCTAAACTTCTTGTTACGAATACTTCAAAGTAAGTACATTTTCAAGCATTATTATATAAATGTATCACGATGAACAAAAATATTGAAGGGCTCAAGATATACTGTTTACTAACGCATGGTCTCGGACTAACCAGTTGACTAAAATACATCCGCTACAGACAGGATCTGTCATATTGAGTGCTGCGTGTATTGGAAGAGGCCAATTTTCGATAACTGGCATAAAGCGAAATATTGAAAGGTATCATTATATTATCATTTAACGCTATTTACAAATATGTTATATAACGTGGATTATTATTTACAGACTCCAAAGTAAAGCTAAATTTACGTCATGGAGTAAAAATTCAATGAAAATAGGTTTATGTTCTGTTCCACCACCCGGGCATGCCACGTCTTTATTATGCTTGTTTAACACCTCGGCTATTTCTTTGATGTTTACGAATTTAATCGGACAGTTTACCAAATTATATAAACGAAAGGTAATAATTAATAGTAAAATACTTAGTATAATATAATTATACTCATTATTTCAGGCGCACGTTCATCACTATACCCAAGTTTCTGGATTTGAAGATTCCCAATTTTTACATAGCAAAGAAATGATCTCCGATTTATGTGAACATTATATGGAGCTTCAAAATCAAAAACAAAGACATATTTCACGGTTGCTAACGCTTTAAAAATTATACAAGGAGACGAACGATCGGGATAATCAGGAATTGTATTATAATAGTAAGTTGATTTATTAATTTAATCATATAGTAAACATGAAATAATTTTAATAAAAATAGTGTCTTTTCTTTTTTTTTTTTTTATTATAATAAATCATATTTTCTATATAACATAAAGAATCGTTTTATTACGTTAAGAGTGTTCTGATTAATTGTTCGTTCGTAGAGTTTTTTCTTTTCTCCCCCTTTTAGGGATATTGCAGAAGCATATTTATATTATATTATATAAGCTATGTGCCTTTTTGGAGACCATAATCAACATTATCTTATCACTTATTTATGCGTTAAGCTTAAAATATCAATGAATTAACTAGCTGGAATTTGGGGTAATCCAAACTCATCCACCAACACACCGTCCTGAAAACAAATTAGATGAATAAAAATGAATATATAACAATATGAATAAAAAATAAATATATAATCTTATAGATAGTAACCTTGTTCCTAACAGAACTAGAACCTGGTTCCTTATCAGGAGCATTAGGTGCTTTAATTGCATCATCCAAGTAAGATGTATCTTCATCTAGAGCAATCTCATCACCAAGAGCATCCAATTCAGCGGCAAGTTCATCTTCGTCAATATCTGGCATTCCATAACTACGACCCATTGCTTCTTGTACTTCATCCGCTTGTTCCAACATATCAGCTAAATTATCTTGTATGTCCTGCGCAAGAGAAATAGACAATTAATAATAAATTATTAAATTAGTTAGAAATAAGAGGAACATACTTCGATGTCATCTATGTTAATATTTTTGAATTCTCTTTGCATTTGTTTAACACCATCCTTCATAGCGACCACTGTTGCTTGAGTGTCTTTTAATGTTTGCGTAGCATAATTTGCTTGTTCCATATTGAATGCTTGTTGACGTAGATTATCTACTTGTGCTTCATACATTTTTCTTTGTTTAAGGACACGCATCGCTTTGGCTTTGACAGCATTCTTCGCTGGACCTTCTCTCATTTTCACCATCTGATCTTTGTATTTTTTTAATTCAGCATCTAGTCGTGCTATTTTCTTTTCAGCTGAATCTGCTCTACTATCCACCTGAATGAAGATCATCAATAATGTAAGAAACATCAATAAGTAAATAATATCATTAACCTGTATTTTGTTTCATTTTTGTGAATAAGTTTAAACAACTTACACCAGCAATACAATCAGTAATACTTGGAGCTGGCTCCTTTGGTTTAGCACGTCCAAAAAGTCTATTCATTTTTTAATTATAATCAGTCAAATACAAAAGACTGATTTGAATCTTATGTGATTGAATTTCTGGAACGTCAGAACGTATGACTCAAAGATGAAGTATGAAATTGTCAATCTAGTGATGAGGGCAGCACTATGCTATTACGTAGTATCTTTGCGTTTACTTGAAATTCAAGGTTGAAAAGTAGGAATTTCAAGTAATTTTTCAAAAATACACATTTTTATATATTGCCAGTAATTTTATTAAACAAAAATAAAAAATTCACATAATTTTTGCAGATAAAGATATCTTACAAATAACAGAATAATACCCCGTTAATTTATAGGTTAATAATATTTATTTATTTTTATCATATTAATTTATACATAATTTGAAAAAGAAAGAAAATTGATTAATTAAAAAACGAACGTTGTAAATATTACAGAATATTATCTATTTTGAGATAATATGCTGTAATGTTAAATATACTAAAAAATAACATTTGAAATCGCGCAATAATGCGCACAAATTACCGCGTTTACATAAGAGCAAATCAAATTTGATCTGCCATAATCCTCCATTTTTTTTCTCGTATTTTTTCATTCGACGTGTTCAGATAACAAGGATGAAGTTATTCCTTTTTATACTCTTCATTTCTTCCAAAATTTTTGTAAAAATTAAATAGAAACTTATTGATACAAGTATAAAACTTTATTTTTACATATTTTGACTAAATGTAATTAGTTTATTTTGTTTTTAGCAAGTCAATGTTCGCGATCTTGCATAGTTTGAATTTGTAATCGTTTTTTACATTTATTTATTATTTATTCGTTAACGATCAATCAATTGTTAAAATAAATGTAGTATCATAATAAAATCAATGAATATTTTAATTTTCTCATTAATTTCACCAAATCGATTCAGAGAATGAAAGTACTATCAACCGTTGGATTTGCTAACTTTTTTCTACATTCTATCAAAGAATACAGAAGTACATAAAAGCTCACAAATCTCCTTTTTTATCTAACCAGATTCATCTTAGTTACTACCGGGACCACCAATGGGCAATAATAGGTAAAATACTGTATTCTTTGATAGTATTGTATTGTTCTTTGATAGTATGTACCGTCATCGCGTTAAGTACCTATTATCGCCTACTGGTGGTCCCGGTAGTAACTAAGATGAATCTGGATAGATAAAAAAGGGGACTTGTAAGCTTCTATGTACTTCTGTATTCTTTGGTAAAACAGTTTACGACAGTTCGTAGTTACGATTTTTTACGATAATGGCAGTAAACTCTTCTTTCCAATGGTAATGCAATTTATCGTTGCAGAGATGGTAAGTTGTTTACAAGATCAATGAGATCTTCTCTTGTCGGGTAAATTTGCACATTTGTGATCACGATTAAAAAAAAGAGATTCTCATTCAAACTTGTTGGTTATTCAACATTACGCTAGAGTCGATATAAAAAATATAAAAAAGAAAAAACATAAAATAAGAACACACGAGACACTTCAAGACGATATCTCGAAATTATACAATTATTTATCAGCTCGCGTCTTTCGATAACACTGGGTTTTTTTTCCTTTAGTATAGTAAAAAAGAATAAAGAGGGATATTCGGTCATCAAAGATCAAATAACTTTGCTATTAGAATCTTGAAAAAATTATTCTTATCATGAGTTACAAAAATAATTCTTTGAAGAATTACACGCCAAGTTGATCGAGTTAATTCGTAAAACCTAACTCGATTCAATTTTAACATTTTCCAACATTATCCTTGAACCGTTCCGCTTTTCGAACGGAACTATTGCATCACTCTTGTCTGTTTACTCCACCGTCAGGTTACCGTTACGTTTGCGCACATGTACGCACAGCAGCAAACGTTGTTGATATCTTATCAGCGTGACTCTTTTACGGCAGGTGTATTTATAAGTACGTATGATATTTACCTACGTAATAGGTACTTAAATACATGCGCACTAAATTCTAGATTCAAACTCATAAGACCAGAAATCTCCTGATCGTTACTGATTAAAATCATAATCATTCTTATAATAAATAAAAAAAAGGTGGTAGAATATTTCGTAGTAGATTTCTTCTTGATTTTTTGTAATTAGAAAAAAGAGGAAGGAAGATTCGTTTACGGCCCTGAATTTTCCTAGAGCTTGTAGTTCGAACGGTGCGACGTTGATAGTAAGAAGACATGGAAGAAGCGTGGGCGGAGGTAAATGCGAACACGAAGAGAGAGAGAGAGAGAGAGAGAAAGCGAGTGAGGGAAGAAGGGTAAAGAATAGGACAGCAAGTACGAGATAGCACGAGGAAGATAGAGACAACTAAATACATCGGTGCTTTTGGTGGAAGCGGTGGTGGGCCAATGTTATTCAAAGCGCATGCGTGGATGAAGTCGGCGCGCGACGCATCAATGTGTTAAAAAGAGAACGAAGAAGTACCACCATCAGAACTACCACAAACAGCACCCCACCTCCGTCACCATCAGCTAGACTGAACTAGCGACTGAACAGCCAGGCAGGAGGCAAGCAAGCAGACAAGCAGCTAAGCTAGGAAACGCGCTAGCGAGTAAAAGTTAAATTTATCAGCAATACAAGAACAATAGGGAATATCGATAACGACAAGATAGACGATTCTAACGACGTTAGATAAAGGAAGTCACGACAACGGTGGTGAGAAGAAAAGAAAAGAGAACAGTGAATACATTATCAGAGAAGGTGGAAGAACCATTCACTTTTACACGGGACCATAAGAAGCTTTGATACGTGCTGCACTATTCGATAGCAATTGGTCTCTATGGTCGACCCAATGTTATGGTTAGGCTCGGAGTATCTAACGGAGTGTTGAATAAGTCACTACGACTACGCATGAAACGTATTACATTTGAGAAGGAGTTGAACAGGCAGCTTACCAAAGCCGCTGTTGTTAAATTGCTTCGTTTGCCACTCTGTCTAGTTCCCTTTTGCTCTCTTTCTCTCTTTCTCACTCAATACATATATTTTTTTCTTACAAGCGCGCCCTCTTGCTCGCTCCTCGTGAGTTCTGTTTCTCCCTCTAACTCTCTCTCTCTCATTCTCTCGCACACGCCCCCTCTCGCTATCTCGTTTTCTCTTGGCCAGTCCAAGAAGAAGTTATACGAGAGAGAAAAAGAGAGAGAGAGAAAGGAAAGATAGAAACAGACCACGTCGGTTTGGTGGTCGATCGGTAGAGGAAGATTACGACCTGGTGGTGGTCTCTTTATAACACTATTTTTTTCCCGAATTTTCTTGGCTAAAGACAACGTAGAATGAGAAAGCGAGCAAGCTGGTGCAATTTGCTGACCCCACCGAGAAACGACTGAGAAACGTGGGACTGAAATTATGTTACCTGGAAGGAGTTCCCTAGCTTACTGTAGAAAGAAGAAAACATAGAGATAGGTCAATAATAAGAAAAAAAAGTTTCTACTTCTGTTTGTATTTTTTTTTAAATTTATACTCCGCATAATAAATTAAAGAACGTGTCGGACCCTTTTCCGTTCCTACTTTTATTCCTCTTCGGATTCGTTGCTTTGCAATAGGGACAATTTTCGCTTTTTTTATTTCGAGAAAGAGCAAGAAGAGGGAGAAAGGGGGAAGAAAGTGAGAAAGAGGGAGAGATAGAGAGATAGAATCTGTTAAAAATAATTATAGCCGTCATCGTGATCATTGTAAAGGTGTACTGCGTGTGTCCGCGGTGTGTTACATCGCGAGGTAGCTCGCATCGTTGAAGCTTATCGGTGATCGATCGAGTAAACGATACGGGGCAGCGCGCGCTGAGGGGCGGCGGGGGAGGGGAAGGGCTAGATAGGAAGAGGAGGTGGCGAAGTTGGAGGAGGAAGAAGAGGAGGAGAAAGAGGAGGAAGAGGACGGTGGAGGACGGTGTGCAACGACGAGGAGTCGTCGTAGTAGCTCGTCCAAGTTCGACCGTAGACGGCGACGGTATCGTGCCGCGTGTATCTCGCGCGGATCCCTCCTCGGCACGGCAAGGACGCTCTCCAAAGAGCGTCCAGGTACGAAAGAGAAGTGCGCGAGTGACCGAACGAAGGGAGGATTACTCCAGTGTGATTATTTTCTTGCGGTGTCGTTTGTCGAGGAGGAGAGGAAGAAGGAATAGATTTGCGTCGATGATATAAGTGCGATCAATCGAAAAAATTAACAGATAATACATAATACGATAGAGAAAGAGGTTACGAGTAAAAGGGAAGGAGAGAGAGAGAGAGAGAGAGAGAGAGAGAGAGAGAAAATAAATAAAAGAAACAAAAGTATAATACAAAAAATTAGTGTTGGTGAAAATTATGAGTGACGAGGATCGTCGAGTGATACTCGCACGAGATAAGAGATAGGCCAGAGAAATGCCATCGGGTCGACGTGGTATCGGTGGATCTCGGCCGATCTCTCGGTTCTAAAGTTTTTTACGTCAAAAGTGGAAGTAGCGAAGTAGAAGGTTAGAGCAAGGAGATCTTTATTAAGGTGAAAGATTAAGAGAGAAAGGAGGAAGGAAGGAAGGAAGGAAGGAAGGAAGGAATAAAGGAAGGATAAACAGCAAGGGTGAAGAGAATCGAAAGATTTGCCGTAGCGCGCTCAGCTTCCGGGATTCGTGGGTGTTTTTACGCGCGCGGCGTGGATCGATAGCCGTCTCTCGCGAGCTCGGCTAAGCTTTGACGAAGTCCGCGGCGTCAACAGGACGACGACGACGACGACGACAACGACGACGACGACGAGGACGACGACGACGAGTCGGTTCGAAGGACAAGCAATTTTTGTTCGCGCCTGGACACGAAATACTCGCGTGTATTACTTACAAGAAGTGGGAGAAAGAAGGGAAGGAAGTAGAAGGAAGAGAAAGAGGAAGAAGGTGAGGAGAGGATAGGACAGGATAGGATACAAGTAGAAAGGGCCGAGTTCCGGTGATATATGGGGGACTTCGGCACAACGAGTCTCTTCTCGAGTTCCTTGTCCGGGCCAAAATCGTCGATCGGTAGTAGTTCGAGTGCGGCCATATCCCTATCAACGTCTACCATGCAGGACGACCTGCTGATCGAAAAGCAGAGCACGGGAAAGCCGGCGCCTCTCTCGCCGAGCGCTGCCCTCGATAACGTTGGCGGTCCTCAAGAAAAGTCCAAGGACGCGGTTGAGGTCGAGAGTATCGCTATAACATCGACGACGCCCTCTTCTACGGAAAAGGAGATAATCGCGTGTAGCACGACCTCGGCCCTTCAAGGTTTCAGCGATCCGGCCAGGGTGCCGAGTCTTTGGGCAGATGACACCACGGGTTTGGATCTGCCGGTAAACGGTTCGATCCCTGCTTTTCAAAATTTCCCGACCGGAGGTCCGGCCGGCTTTTTTGCCAGCACAGCTGCGGCCGTTTCAACGAATACTCGACGAGCGATCACGGCTAGTCATAATTTTCCACAACAACACGGTAACGCGGCTGGGGCGCCAACCACCAGGCACGGCCTTCCTGTATCCACACCTCAGCAGCAACAACAACAGCAACAGCAGCAGCAGCAACAGCAGCAACAACAACAGCAGCAACAGCAACATCAACAACAACCACCGCCGACCTCGCATCCAGGGGTTTATCTACCCAGTAAAAGTTATGCCGCGTGGTCAGGTGGGCCTCAAGCACCACAACAATGGGGCGGAGGACCCCAAACGGCCGCTGCTGTCGCTAGTCAAGGTCTTTCTCCTTGGAGCCGCGGTAGGTCCGTTCCAAATCTACCACCTCTGCACTCCTCTCTTCACGCTGCCGCTGCTGCCGCTGCTGTCGCTGGTCTTCAAGGAAGGAAACCAAGTCCCACGTTTCCGGGACACCCTGGACCTGCTGCTCATCCTTCCTGCATAAGCCCAGTCAGGCAATTTCGCAGGAGCACATCTTATCCTGGAAAGGGTAATATCTATCCACCTCAGCCAGCGCCAACGTTCGAGGTCACCGCTGCGGAAGAGAGGGACCTGCTGTTACCGCCCTTTCAGCAGGTGAATCTTCATAGGTGTTTTGTTTCTTTCTTTTATCATTTATCATCTTGAACTGATAAACCATTTCATGATCGCAAGAGAATGATCTGTAAAATGTTATATTTGATAATGATTTACGTTATGTTTTTTTCATCAAGATTTTCCAGATTCCTTAAATCAATTTCAATTGACTCAGATCACGTTAAATTTTCAAGATGCATTTGCAATATTGCGCGCTTAAATAATAATGCGTTAGTGCGATTATCCTAAGCTCACTTTACCACTGCTACGATATTTTTTCACTCTCTCACCTATGCATAGATTCGAAGGGTAACATATGCTTCATGCCAGGTTGAAAATTCATCGGTTCATTGGCGTCGTATCTAATTAATCGTATATATATTCTTGAACGATACATTTTTTTCATTCATTATCTAATTACAAATTTATCATTAAATATATAGATATATATATATTTGAACCATTACTCTCCATACATTATATCGTTAGCTTTTACGAACGAGACTAGCGATAAATTTCGATGAGTGAAATAAAAAATCTAAATTCATCGAGCTAAATAAAAGATTATTATTTTTAACGTTAGGCAGTCAAGAGCGACGGCGTAGGTGTTCTTTTGACTTTTCAGTCGGGTGGTATTGCGTTATCGATCGTCCAGCACAGGTATAGCTATAGAAAAGCGTGTACTTCGCGTTCTCGGCTTGTGGTGGTACGGTAATAATCGTGAGGTCTCTTCGAAAAGGTGTTCTACGCTTGGGTCTGACTTCCGTGGGCTGCGCCGGTGCATGTATTTCATGCCAAGTTATGCAACTACTCCGTTCGTACGAGAGAGAAAGAGAGGGAGAAAGAGTGAGAGAAAGAGAGCTAGTGAGAGAATTAGAAAGAGAAAAACTCGTATTTAAATTTAGACAGTGCAACGGCTGTTTCAACAGTCAGCACGGCTACTCAGTGCTCTTTGTGTGACATCGTTACCTTAACACGAGACATATATTTTTTTTCTTCGTTTAACAATTTTCCCTTCTACCGTCGTCATCTTGGAAAAATCCAACCGTAAAATAATTTTCCTACTACGGAGAACAGAAAACGATATGACGAACGAGGTCACCGTTAGCTCGATTGGTAGAATTTACTTGAAAATTACGCGTATCGCGTTACGATGCCTGTTAGAAAAGTAAAACATACAGTAACTCGAGAATTAAGATTGGGAGTTTGAAAATAGGAAAGTTTAGTTAATCAGGTTGAATGATTTTTCGATTGAGTAATGTAGTGTAAATGATCGATTAATTCGATCGATAAATTGAAAAAAAATTTACTCGAAAAAAAGAAAGATATAGGGGGGGAGAGAGAGAGAGGAAAAAAAAACACTTCGTCGTTGAATTCTGACCCAATTCCTTTACGTCGTCGTTTGGATTCACACATATACAAACAAACATAGATATATATATATATATACGTAGACATTTACAGACGCGTAAGGAGAGTGTGTCTAGCAGAAGTTTAAGCTCAGCTATTTTCAACCGCTCCGTCAAAAATAGAGAGCTGCATACTATACCGAGAGAGAGATAGAGAGAGAAATGGCAGGTCTTGTTATGCGAGAGAACCATCTCAATTTTCGTCACGTCGTTTCTATTGAATATTTAATATCCATCGTTTTATTTGAAATACCTTTTGAAATACTATTCGGAATACGACGAAATACTAACTTTAATTCCTTCTTAAATGTTCTAAGTATCATTGTATTTTAATAATTTGCTTAATAATCGATGATTACGTTTCGCTCGTCCTCATATTAGACTCGAAATATCGTTTTAGCTTTTTTCTCCGTGTGTAATTGAAAGTAGATATAATGTGCGATACGAATGAATATTAAGTAAACAAAAAAATTATCGCACATAACAATTTGTTCATCTGGTTTTGACTCGACAATATTTCCACTCTCTACCATATTGGAATCATTCAAATACTTGCAATGTAATTTTAATGCTATGATATATCCTATCGTCCCTGCAATTACGATTATTCCTTAATGTTAATAGTTACTAATAATTAAAGAAAAAAAATCATTTTCCATACACAACATCGTTGCTTAGATTTTATCGATAACCGGTGACCCTTAGAGTCACCAAAATCGATCGACTTTGTAAGTACACGTATTATGATTACTAGTTGAAGAAACTCTTCTCTTGAATTTTCATACTATCCTAGAATCTAGTTTAGATTAAATTGGAATTTAAGTTTGTAGGGAAGTTTACTACGCGACGATGCATCCAAGGATTAGTTTCTAATTTCTGAACACATCGAAAGCGAAAATTGGAATATATCATCCAAGCATATAGATAGGTGCTTACATGCTAACGCTTGAGAAATATGATAGAAGGTATTAAATTCTGACGAGCTAAGTTTCTCTCTCGAATGACTTTTGTAAAGAAATTTCAATGGAAGATATTCGTAAGATTTTGAAGAAAATATTTAGAAAATATTATCGAGATCATCCCCTAGTGTTCATTCATACATTTCAATCAGGATGTATCTGCATGTGTATATATTTCAGTTTGATAAGTTGGAAATATCGACAAAGAGGAGAAAATCAGTCAGAAAATAGAACGAACGCGATCATGTAATGTGTGACCCAGTATCTAAAGAGTACAAGAGAGGGAGAGGAGGAGGGTGGAGGGGCCACAGAGGAGGAGGGGAATGTTTTAATAAAGCGAAGAAATGGCGGCGAGCTTGAAGTCCGATAATTCATCGTTCGTTCGTTCGTTCGTTCGTTCGTCATTCACCTTGGAAGAGCGAATCGGAACACGTGCAGTAGGCCGCCTGGCTAAGGTAAAGGAAACCCATTCGTCGTCCTATTCGTCGATAGTGTGAATTTGTATATACGCGTGCACTTGTTACAAGTTTATATGTATGCGCTGCCGACTATGCGCGTGCGCCTTTCCACATAAACGCATAAAAACATACGTACAAATAGAAATTTAACGTAAATGAGAAAGAACGGAAATATCGTAATCGGGAGTATTGTTATTAGAAACTTGGTTCTTGTTTGCTGATCATGTTGAAATTTATATACTTTCTTTTATTGAAATACTCAATTTTTATATTGTTCTTATTTAAATATAATATAAATTTACAATTACTTCTCTTGATATCGATACAAAATGTAGGGATATTTATAAACGATGATATAAACATAATAATTTAATAATCTCTCTCTCTCTCTCTCTCGATTTATTATTTAAATATTTATTGTGTTAAATTATTTTCTTACTTAAAAGACTAACGTGTATCGTTAATGGTATTAAAAAGTAATCGATATGTTTGCTTGTTATTTTTTTTCCTACGGACACGAATCTAATCGGGATGCAACGTGGATGATGGTTGAAAATACTTATCGGTATTTCCCGGCCTATAATCCCACATTTTTTTTTTCCTTTTATGATTCGATATCTTGTCCTAGATTTTAGGACGTATTAAAAGAGCCTTGTCCTAGTTTCAGTTAAGTTTTCGTCAGGAAGAATGTGGAAAGCTTTTTATGCGACACATTAAATGTGAGACACGAGATACGAAAAGGGTGTTTGTTTTATCAAGGTTACGCACCTGCGTAATACACATATGTACACATATGTGTTTATGTATGCGTGTATATTGGTATATATGTACATGTACATATGTTATAATTTAGGGTGTTATTATCAATGCAAGATGGAACGAGACGTTAGAACGATTTACTACGTGTCTCTAATTTTCCCATATTCGTAGGCCTCCAGCGCATGATTGATCTGACATAATATCAACTATAATCACATGCTAGTTGCTTAAACGCCTTCGGGGAGAGATAATACATTGGGCGAGAATAACTGATGCGTTGGTAAACTAAATGAGGAAAATAGATAAGCGAACGTTAACTCGTAATATTACTTCCACGAGCTTGATCAATGTTATTTTATTTTTCCCCATTTTTTTTTTTTTTATTTTTTCTTCGTTTGTTTTTTAGCTCAGTAGGCGTTAACTCATGCCAGATATACCATAGATTATTTTTTCTCGCTTTTGAGAGAACAAAATTATAATTCGATCTAAGATCAACAATTACAGTAAGTTAGATGTGTGTGTGTGCGTGTGCAGTTTATTATTATATTTGTAAAAACATTTCGGCGTACGTTTGCCAGACCAAAAATAATCTTTCATTAGAAAAATTTGTCTTTGGATGATAAATTTCAAATTATTCTGTCGACAAAATTGGGTCATTGTAATTACGAACGTTAAGGTTTTTTTTTTTGTAGCCAGGATTTTTATCGCAATCAATTTATCAGCAAAGCAAAAAGCTTTCATTTCTTTTCATTATTATTACAATGAAGACAATAACGCGACCTTTTCGTATCGTTACCATGCAGATTTGATTCAATTTTTTTTCTAGCTAGAGATCGACACGATAAATCATTTAGCAAGGGAACGTGACGAAATTTATTGATGCCATATTTTCTATATGCAAATAGTTGTGAACAAACATTTACGTGTATCATGCGTTACGTTAATTTCATTAAGGAAGATGTTAATTGCGTCGTGTCAATTAATAATAATTTGTCCTTGGGTACGAATAACCTAATATCGATATCGTTTATCAGCCTGGATAAGACGTTTTTTTTTTCTTTTTTTCCATTTATATTGTAATTTGTTTTCCTAGTTTCTTCTCTTCTTGATTAATTTCGATTATTCGATTTTTTTAAATTTTAATATCTCTGATAGAAATATTCATATACATATATGTACTTTTTTTAATAAATGAATGTTTAAATCCTATTCTCCTATTAATTTATTTTATTTTCTATTTTGTTTTTTCTAATTAAATGAAATGCGGTCACGTAAGTACGCGAGCGGAAAGTTTCAGGGAACAATTCTCTAATATTATAATTTTTAATATTATTTCATGTCAACGGTGACCTTATAACGCAATATAGGCTAAATGTTAAATAGATTGTTCGAAATCATATCGCGCTCTATTAAAA